TGCTGTGCTTGCAGGAGAGAGTAACATCATCTCCCTCAGAAGCAGAGATTTCTCCTGAAAGATGCTCAGTTGTCTGTGTTGATATTTCCTCTGGGGAACAAAAGAAATACAAAACAGAATTAAAAAAGTTGCATTTTCTAAATCACAATGTTTAAACTGAGCCCTGTAAGGAATTTACACGCATATAAAACAAACAAACAAAACTGTAATAATTTATTCGGATGGTCTACTGTAGCTTTGTAGATGCTGAACTGGTCATTAAATTATGTTAAACTTAATTTCCTAATATCTTTTCTCCTACCCTAAATATAGCACTCATTCCATCCCTTATTTTCATTTGGAATATATTCCTTATCCAATGCGTCAGACTACAGTTCTGGTGGGCCACAACTTTGCATATTCATTAAAACCTTCATACACTGAACGGAGAGCATTAGACAATAAAATTGCTAATCTCTATAGAGGTTAAAGTTTGACATCCTTGCCTTATTGTACACTAAACCTGTTTCTAATCCTAACCGTAATCCTAATGCTATTGAGGATTAACTGTGTTTGTTCCAGATTACTTGTCAATCATTAGAGCATCTGTAGAGAACCATCCAAATAATAAGTGACATCAAGACAATCTTACCTAAAAGAAGCCCCAGGAGAAAAAATGTAAAGTGCAACATGCTGATGGAGATGTGAAGTTACTGAAAGCCAAAGCTGAATGGGATTTGTGTAGTTCTCTGCTGAGGTTCAGAGCTCCACCCTTACTGTAGTCATCAGAATATGTTCCTCTGGGTTTGGTCACACTTGTGGTAAAATTAGATAGGAATTATTGCACATATATCATGGATGTTTCTGCATAATAAGCATATTATTTTAAAATAGCCTAATTTGTCATTGTAAAAATAAACACATCAGTCATGTCTGCACATCTGTGCATCATCAGGAAGGCCTGTAATGTTGACAATGAGAAATGTATTCATGCGTTTGTCTCACTAAAATTGGAACCCTGCAATGCTTTATTAACAGGTTTACCCAAGAGCTCTAAATCTGCAGTGAATTCAGAATACCACTGCCATGATGTTGTGCGTCTCTACATTAGCAGAAATAGTTGTTAGATATCTTCTTCCTAGATCACTCACATCAAACATCATTTCATCCTAGAAAAATGGCTGAAGAAGAAGGAGTCAGCTTTAGTTAGTACAGCCTCACGCTCTGCATTTCTAGCTAAAAGAGTAGAATTTAGTGTTCATCATTCAGTACAGTGTATCACTGGTAGGTTGGCATGATTTCACTAGTATAGCAGACTGACTGCCTGACTCATGTTTCTACAGAGGAATAAATAGAGAAATAGAGAGCAGAGAACAGATCATCCACTTTTTTTAACCCGATGACAATGTTTGATGGACTGTTGTGAAGAAGGTGGTTGAGCTATATGAAACATTAAATGTCTCATTTCTTTATCTTTTCATTAATTCAGATACAACAACTTTAATTTCAAACTTTTGTGTGAATACATCTGACCCATGTTTTCGTGTTATAAACCATTGTTTTTATTTTGAAAATATTAATTCAGAATTTTTTTATATTTTTGTTGTACATGTTCTGCTCTTTTTCCCTTCAATTTACATTATTATTCTTACCTTGAAATTTAATGTCAGGTATTCTTTATGCCTGATTTATCTATAGGAGTTTAATAAGCATGGATAAATTGTGGTTTGAGCCTGTGTCACTAAATTATTTAATAAATCATTTACTGTAATAGTAACATCTGTTTGTCTTTCTTATGGCAGTATAGCTTCATGATATGCTAGGTCAGTTAGTGAACATTTACTGACCAATAAATCCGAATTCATACATGGCCTGTCAGAGCGTCATTCCTTTCTTTGCCTAGTTAGCTGATGATCATCCTCACTACACTGTTAGAATGAGAACGGTGATGTTGTAAATCTTTGTCTTTGCCAAAAGGAGTCAGGAGACCACAGGATGCTGGATGATGATATTATTGTAGGGCTCTGAAGTTCCAGCCTAGCTTTGCCTAAATGACAGTTCTGACAACAGGCTTTATGCAGTACAGTTGTTAATGATCTTCTCTGCTGTATTAAGTCAGAACACACAGAAGAATGTACTCCTATCAATAACTGTTTTAATTACAGAGCTAGACCAGAGTCAGCTTATCAGTTTGCACTGATGATTAATCATGTGGACTGAAATTAAAGGAACAGTGACTCAGCATTGACACTCATACTAGCCATATGATCAGTCATGAGTGAGCTTTACAGCTTAAGAATGAAAAAAAAGTAACTTAAAAAGAAGAAAAAAAATAATAACAATAAAATAATAATTCACTTCTTTAATACACAAAGTTATTCAACAGGCATGTTCATGACTGGAGGAAGGGTATTAGCCACATTTACTATGTTAGTATCTCATTGCATTTGTTGTCACAAAAACCCTGCAGTGCACCAAGAAGCACCACACCGTATCCTGTTTCTGCTACATGTGCACTTTTTTTCTTTTAGTTCACCAGAATTGTAACCTCAGTTATTTCAGAGAGAGTGTAATCACAGATAATACACTGTAGTGTGGATGTTACTTTGATCTCTTTGTGTTCAAAGCAAACAGAAGATGAGAGTTTTTGTAAAGCGTCTAAGACATTGTATCACTAGGATACTGCTACTCCTGTAAGAGTTACTGCTCCTACTCTAAGATCACAGTAGTAAAGAGTCGCATCTGCCAGTCTTAGTCCTCTAACAGTGAGTTCAGTGAATGTTCTGGATGTAGATGATGAAAATCTACGGTTTGATGTATGTCTCCTTTCACTCTGTTGTCGAGCACCTCTATACAGTAAATACTGTAGAGCTCTGTTAGGATACTGTCTGTACCAGTAGAGCCAAACATTTTCACTACTTGTTTCATAAGAGCATTTCAGTGTAACAGATTCTCCCTCTTTTCTAAAAACATTAGTCTCTTGATCGTTTGGTCCAATTTGATCAGCACCAAACACATCTGAAAGAAACAAAGATTAGAAATTTTAAAACCAAAAACAAAGTGTCAATTTCCAAAGACTGTTAAGCAGATCTATTGAGTACCTGATGTGATGATGAGAATGATGAGGAGGTTTCTCTTCATTGTGAATATGATCAGATGGAGTCAGTAGTGTGTTTAAGCTCTCAGTGCTCTATTGCTGATCTGTGTGTTAGTGTGAATCTCTCTGAAGTGAGTGCAGTTATGAGAAACTACAACAGGAAACTCCTGCTCTGGGGAGCTGCTCCACTGTGCTTTCTGTCTTCGTGGAAGATTGAAGTGGAAATAATAGCACAAGCAAAAGCCAAATAAAGTAATTAAGAATAGTCAATGCATGACAATAAAAATAATTAAAATTAATATTAATCTATGCTGAAATGCAGGTTTTTTTTAATTTATCTTGTTTTAACTGGATTATTTTGTAACAAATGTAACCACACAGCCAATCTCCAATCTTGAATTAACTCTTACAGTGTTCATTTGTGTTCAACTGGACTTTGTTGTTAATCACTCACTGGGGATTTTGCTGTGTGAGTTCCAATGTTTCTTTTCAGTTACTAACATGTTCACACACAAAAGATTTAGCATCATTGAAAAACATTAACCCCTTAAAATCCCAGGCTTATTACATGCTAAGGCTTATTATTCGGTAACTTTAGGGATTTCAAAGCAAACTGGTCAAGCTATTCTAACATTATAGAAGTGAGATATAAAACTTTGGTCCTGCTGGTGGGAACTGACCATCTTAGTGGTTCAAAGTAAAAGTTTCAGACTGGTGTATCTCTTTACTCCACAGTCAGCCTCCTGGAGTCATTAAACAGCTAAAGCTTTACTTCAGCTTAGTTCTATTCTGGGCTAGAGCTGTGAAGCCTCACAGATACATTACACAGTTCAGTTTTTTTGAAAAAACTCACCTCTGATTTCTCCTCTGTGCCCCATAGCAGTCTCTTTAAATCATAAGCTCTGCCCTTAATTGGATATGAACTACACGAATGTTAAAAGACATGCAATTACAGAGAGGTTGAATAAATCAAGCTTAGTAAAAGATTGTGATTGTCATCGTTCTTTACATGGCAGTTTTCTGTTCTTTTTCTTACTGGTAAGTGTTATTCAGCTAGCTTTATTGCACCTCTGTCTACAGTCTCACCTTTGCTATGCTTCCCCCTCTTGCAGGATCACCATGGAGCCTGACAGTTCCTAGAAGAGGACACATTCAGTAGCACCACCATTCTATTGTAATTAATGTAAGTATGTAAGTATACACAGTTCTTTCTTTAACCCATATACACACACATGTGATAGGTTCCTCTGACATCATCATAGTTTGGTTTGTAAGATGACTGTAAGTAACAGATGCATTTATTATTTATTATTATATAGAACTGCATGTTTGTGTGTAATGGATAAATGTGACGTCACAGTGGCTCTCAGTAGACAGTAGTACAAAGAAGAGTCTCTCTCTCCCTCTCACGCACACACGCACACACACACACACACAGCCTCTAGACTGTCAGTGGAACTGATCATGATTTTTTTAAAAAAATTAGGAACTGAGAGATTAAATAAAACTAAAATCTAACTTTATCTCAGTAACAGTTACAGAGTTCCTTCACTTCTTATTAGAATCACTCCTATATCAGTTTTAGAGCTTGAGGTTTGTGAATAGCATTTGTGTATCATATTATCATATAAGAGTTTACAGCACAGTAATACACTACATAGACATGCAAAGTACTAATTTTGTCTAATTGTAATTTCTGTCCAGTGTAAATAAGGACTGGAATTCAGTCCCATATTGTCTTTATGGCTGCTTTCATTCTGGCACTGTAGGGATGTAGAAACTCGTTGTTTTGTAGAGAAATGGAGAAACTTAAAATGGTGTTACTGCCTTGTTTTACATAATATCAAATTGCATTGATGATAAATTGGCATCTTTAGATTCTTCTCCTTCTTTTGTAATGCATTCAAGGGTTAACTTATTGTAGTCACACAGTCTGTATACTAGGTGTAACCTGAGTTGAATTGTCACATCCACACAGGTTCTTGTACAGTGTTGCTGGGTTTCCTGTCACTGTGGACCTCAAGGCACAGTAGTAGAGTGTAGAGTCTGATACTGCAGCAGAGGAGATCAACAGATCCACACGCTTTTTGTCTTTATCCACTTCAGCAGACATACGAGGAGGAAGAGGATCACTCTTAATCCCCTGAGGATAAATGTACAGGAGAAACTCTGGTCTGGATCTGGGAAACTGTCGATACCACTGAAGAACATAATTAGTATCACTGGTACTGTAGTGAAGTATATATATATATATATATAGCCCCTCCCAGTGGACTAAACCAAAATTATATTCAGGTATTCGTAAGGCAAAAAAGTCACCTTCCCATTCAAAGTACACACATATTCAGTGTATACTTCAAGTACACATATCTACAAATGTCATTCATAGTCAGTGTTCAATATTTGCAATTAATTCATTAACAGTTTTGTTTTTCTTTCTCCCCAGGTCGACCTGTGCACCCCCTGTCCCTGTGTCCCTCCCAGGCCCGCAGACCTACAAGAGGACCGAATGACCCGCGCTGTCACTCTTTCCAGGAAACAGGTAAGTAACTGTCTCTCTTTTCTTACTGAAGGGCACAGTAGTCGAGTGCAGAGTCTACAGCTGACAAGATCAACAGGTCCACATGATTTTTATCTTCATTTACTTTTAAAGACACTTTAGAAACTGCAGGATCAGCTTTCTGTTAAAATTTAGCATCATTGACCAGAAACAGAAACTGTGTTGTGGATCTGGAATGGTGACAATAACACAGCAGAGGATCTTCTACAGCGGATCCAGTGTTTCTGTAGAACAGAGAAACAGAATCTCCCATCATTATAATCATTATAAAGCCTTATAAAGCTCAAACTCAGCGTCTTTTGCACATTTATTGTCCCTAATTTTAGTTCAGCTCCCTCTCATCATTCTACACTCTCTTACACATAAAACATTCTATTTTTATACCTAAACAATTTCTAGATAAAATCAGCCTCCTCCTAGAAGATTTCTATAATTATTATGGAAATTATTATTATTGGAATTATTTCCATGATTCCATAATTTCTGTGTATGAAGAGGAAATATTGTTTGATAATCAAGAATAATCAAGCAATGGCTTTAGGGATTCAGTTTTATTCAGGTTAATCTTTTCACATCAATGTTTTCTATACTGGATTCTTGTTCCATGGACAAAGACAGCACAATCTGGCATGCATTTTCATGGCAGTGGGTTCAGAAATTAGTTCTGAACATGTCATTGTCAGGTTAAAGTGACATACATATTTTTAGTTACTAGTTTAGACATTAACTAGTGGAGCAACCAAATTAAGTAAGAGGATAGTTTGAAAGTTTGAAACTAAGTAGTGTTTACAAAGAACTTTAAACACAAACTTCAGTATAGTAACCAATGCAACCCAGTCCTGATCATAATGAACAGCAAGACATGTAGCTGTTTAAACCTGGAATTTCCATTCACTCTCAAACATTTTGCTGCGTTTGTTGTCAGAACAAAATGCACTAAAAGTTTAAACTGTATCCTGTGTTTGCCACATGTGCATTAACGCTTTTTTAATACACCTCAGTACTTTAACCTCAGTCATCTCAGAGTGAGTGTAATAACAGATAATACATTGTGGTTTGGATGTTACTTTGATCTCACTGTGTTCAAAGCAAACAGAAGGTGTGTGAGTTTTTGTAAAGCATCTCAGAGACTTTGTATCACTGGGCTCCAACTCTTAGAGCACAGTAGTAGAGAGCTGTATCTGCCAGTCTTGGTGAGCTCAGTGGATAACGTGGATGCAGTAGACTCAAATCTATGATTTGCAGTGTCCTCATCAGCACTGCTTGATCGGGCACCTCTAAACAGTAGATACTGTAGCGCTCTGTTAGGATACTGTCTGTACCAGTAGAGCTGAACAAACTGACTATTTGTTTCATAAGAGCATTTCAGTGTAACAGGTTCTCCCTCTTTTCTAACAACATCAGTCTTCTGATCATTTGGTCCAATTTGATCAGCACCAAACACACCTAAAAGTGGAATAGAAACAATAAATAGATTAAAATAAAATATAAAATATGCTAAAATTTTGAGCACATCTTCACAGTGAGTACCTGATGTGATGATGAGAATGATGAGGAGGTTTCTCTTCATTGTGAATGTGATCAGATGGAGTCAGTGGTGTGTTTAAGCTCTCAGTGCTCTAATGCTGATCTGTGTGTTAGTGTGAATCTCTCTGAAGTGAGTGCAGTTATGAGAAACTACAACAGGAAATACCTGCTCTAGGGAGCTGCTCTACTGTGTTTTCTGTCTTTGTGGAAGATTGAGCATCCTTTGTTCTCCCACAACCTCCAGAGAGTGTAGCTTGACTCCTACAACAGAGTCAGCCTTCCTAATAAGTTTGTTTATTTTGTTCAGAGCACTTTTGTTAATGCTACTGCCCCAGCACACATCAGCATAGAATAAAGCACTTGCTACAGCAGGATGTTTGAAACAGGAAACTTTCTGTGACAGAGCAAACTGTTCAATACTTTGATTAAATGGTGTAAGAGTTTTCCTATTATAAAAGATAAAAGCATTAAGACATCAACATATGAGCTACTTGCATCAGCTCTTTGAATACTATATATGTAGTCTGAATGATTGTAACATGAAGCTCACAGGTGCATTTGTAGGATTATTGTTTAGAACTGCATGTTTGTGTATGATGGTTGAATGTGATGATGTCACAGTGGCATGCTGTACACAGCAGTACAAAGTAGTCTCTCTCTCTCTCTCTTTCTCTCTCTCTCTCTCTCTCTCACACACACACACACACACACACACACACACACACACACACACATACACACACAGTTTCTGGATTGTCAGTACATTTAAATTAAATGTTTTTATGTCTTTTGAACTCATCAATTTTGTCTAATTATATCATTAAATAATATAGTGAAACAGTAGAATTTGCCCTGAACAGTTCAGTACTGCTGAAAGTAAACCATGCATTCATTAGCTGCTAACTTTACCACTTTAAAATGACTTCCAATTTGACATTACATTTCTGTTTTAAAGCTTGAATATGTAGTTGTCATGTTTTAAAACACTTTACTCATGTTTTCTGTTTGTTCCAGCAGCAGGTGTTGGCAGTGTCTTTATCTGGGTTTGTGGTTCACTGATATCATGGTGTAGTAAGGAAATAACTTTTTGTACAGCCTCTCAGGGACTTTGTATCACTGGGTCTACTCTAAGAGCACAGTAGTAGAGCGCAGAGTCTGTGAGCTTTAGTCCACTGATAATAAGTTCAGTAGATGTATCAGTTGTCTTTGCTTCAAGTCGAGTGTCAGTGGGGGTACTCTTCTGACCACTGTATGATTTTGCTCCTTGATACAGTAAATACTCTGGAGCTTCATTAACACGCTGTCTGTACCAATAAAGCCAAATGTCTCTGCTGGATGACTCATATGCACATTTCAGAGTAACAACATCTGCTTCTTTTTTAACAAGGTTGGCATCTTCCTCCATCGGCTCAATTGTATCTGCAAAAACACCTGAATTAAAAAGCAAGAATGATCTACATTTAATGACACATTGAAACATCATATTGATTCATTAGTAACTACATGTCTAGCTACATGTACATTAATTATTAGTTTACCTGAAGCTGCAATGAGATAGTGTTATAAATCTCTCAATGTGCAGTTTGATGCATCTTTGGGCCATTTTTGAACACAGTGGTCTTTGTGTTTGAAAGTGGTCTCTGTGTTTGGCCCTTTACACATGAGGCAATTATATAACTCCCACCAAGGAAGCGCTTGAGCTGAAGTATTACAGCATGTGACAGGCTGATCTGAGAGTCAGTAACTATGAACTGAAACATCAGTTCAATACAGAACAACTGTTTTGTTTATAGAGTCACTGCTGTTGGGTTTAAGATTGTGCTGGATTATTTCTAGTGCCTCAAAAACAGATTGAGATGTACACAGTACCATTTAAAACTATGGGCACACCCACTGATGAGTTTCTCTTTATTTTTTTGACCACATCTTAGAAGACAACAAAACCATGAAACCATGGAATTACAGTGCCTTGCAAAATGTGACTCATTATAAATTCTACTCACACTTTTTCAGTCAGTATTGGGAAATTATAACTATATTGTTAAAGCAATAATAAAAATAAAAAATTTGAACCACAGTGAAACCCTGAACATTTGTCTCCTCATTTATCTTAGCAGACTGGCCACAGCTTTGGCCTTGTGCTCGGAATCAATGGGCCTCATTCAACAATATCTTCCAGGCTTGTATAAACTAATTTAACCCTTCATCCATTCTATGAGTACATGTAAAACATTTGGATGACATTTGCCTTTTTAATAGTTGCAGAGTAAATTAATTTTTTCACCTTAACTGTAACTATAGTAAGTCTAGCGTAATCAACAGCAATAGTGTAAAGCATCTTCAGGCAACAATAGGCTAGATTTCAAACATTAGTTCTGAACAGCACTATGACAACACACATACATTAAGAACATATGAATTATGATGTCACATTCATGCTATAATAAAGTGATGCCATAACCTTCTGATCTCTGAAACTGGACGTTTTTCATCTGTGTCTGAAATGGAAGATATCTGCCTTGATGCGTTACTGCCCGTGCTGTCTAATAAGTCAGTGCCTTAGAAGGCAGCACTGTCTGCATTTTTCTTCTAACTGCATTGGTGTTGACACAGAGGATACATCTATGCCACCTTCAAAAAAATGGCTGAATGGAGGAACCTCAGCAAGCAGTGCTTTAAACAAACATTCATGGATATGACTCTGTGCCTTCCAGTCCCAGAATACTGTATGAGTAGGCAGTGTTTATTATGTTTCAGACACAGTCATTGGTGAAGAGAAAAGAAATACTCATCTACTCATGTCTGTTCTTCACTGATAATTCCTCAGTATTTAACTGCTCTCTTCATGCTTTCCTGATAAACCAAAGATTCTGCTGGAGTTAAGTCAGCCTCCCATCTGAAACATCAGCTTGCAGAGCCTGACCACTACATCTAGATTATGGACTGCCTTGACCCTAGCGAAAGCTTAGATAGACTCCTTCACTACCATGGAGGTTATATCAGTGAAGAGACATAATGCTGCAGATTGTGGTGGACAGTGCTGCATTAGGGATGCCCTGCACTGATACACCAAACTGGAAAATTTACTGGTCAGCACCTTGTAGGTCATGCTGATTGACTCGTCATGCAGTCAGTGGATCAGGAGAAACAGTTATATAACATTTTTGCAAGTAAAATGGAATCTAAAGCACAAGGTTAAGGTAAAACATTCTGCAGCAAAAATCTGGTCCTGAGAGGAAAACAGAGTCTCAGCTCAGCTCAGTTCTCAGCTGTTAAATGAATGTCCTACTGTTTGGGGTTATTTGTATCTCAAAATATATTTACTATAAAACTCTTGCGTATGTTTGTGTGTTTGTTAATTTATAAATAAATAAATAAATACATAAATCATGTTTACTTTGTGCTGGAAAATATAGGTCAAATATAGATTTTCAGTAAATACAATTACTTTTTTTCAGCTCTTTGTGTGCAGCATTAAAGACCTAGCGTGTGGTTTGTAAGATGATTGTAACTTGGAACTAACAGGTGCATTTGTAGGCTTATTGTTTAGAACTGCATGTTTGTGTATGATGGTTGATTGTGATGATGTCACAGTAACTTTCAAAACTCAGTAGTACACAATGGAGTCACACACACACATACACAAACAGCTTTTGATTGTCAGTGAAACTGATGTGGATTACTTGATTGATTGTGTCTTTATCTCTAAATGGATATTCATCTCTTCTTAGAATTTATTTAGGAAAGTCATTCCCTTTCTAAATGTTGCAGAAGAGCTCTGCTTCTGTTTCAGCTCTGTTTGCGTTCTAATGTTACCGACTTTCCTTCAAATTGAGTCAAATCTCGGACTGTCTGTCTCTCTCTCTCTTTTACTCTGCAATCTGTGAAAACAGAACAACAGAACTGTGATAAGAAACTAGAAATAATTGGCTGATCTGAAAAATTATTAGTGAAGTCTTTCATACCAATAATGCAGTAAAAATGCACAGATGTCTCAGCCAGTGTCTCATAATTAATTCTGACTGAAACAAATCGACTGATGAAGAAAGCATGCATACCCAGCACTACTGAAAACCCAAAGTGTGTCTCCTCCTTCTGGCATTACAGAGCCATTACATGAATGTAATAATTGCTGGACTGTGTAGCATTTGTTTCCTTAAATTTTGATGTGTTCCCCTCATTATATCTCTGTTTGTCAATACAGCATTATTATCACCGTAAGCCTGAAGAGACATAGGCACCAATTTAGGTTAGAACTGTTTTCCTAAATATGGTCCCAAAAGTGAATGGACAATTAAGAATCGTGCACAATATATCATCAAACTGTCAGTTTTTTTGTATTTTTTTTTAGTTTTTTTTTTATATGTTTTATATATATATATATATATATATATAATAATAATAAAATACCAGCTCACATTACCATTCTGAACCTTCCTTGTTCAGCTTCTGCGGTGTCATTACTATGAGTCATTGTCAGTTTTAGCTTTTGCTACTGTAAGGGGGTTTTTGTATAGTGTAGCTGGGTTTCCTGTCACTGTGGGCCTCATGGCACAGTAGTAGAGTGCAGAGTCTGATACTGCAGCAGAGGAAATCAACAGATCCACTTTCTTCTGTTTTTTACATAATCTATTGATATTCCAGGAACAGGAGGTTGAGCTTTAGTAATGACCCCAGAATTGTCCAGTATGAGGAACTGTGGAGGTGAATCTGAATACTGTCGATACCAGTGAACACCGTATTCAGTTCCACTGTAGTTACAGGAAAGTGTAACATTTTGACCTTCAACAGCAAAAACAATGTCTCTGTCTGGAGTGATGACGTCTTCAGCTCTGTTACCAACAATTTTTTAAAGTAATTATGTTAATGATTAACCAACCATACACAAAACTAATCTAACTAAATCATAGCTTTAGGAATGTTTTATGTAAGTTGTAGTATTCTGTCTACTTTTCAAAAACTCTGAAAACTTTACCTTTAAGAGCTGAGAGCAGCAGCACAGTAAAAATGATCATGGTGGTCAGCACTGACTGGGAGAAGAACACACACTGAGTTTGAGCTCCTCAGCATGTCAGCATGACAGTGTGCTGATCATCTCTACTCTCTACACACTCAGCTCCTCCTCCTGACTGAACAACTCATCTTACACTCTGCTTTTCAGAGTCAGTTATAACCATCTGCCCCTGCTCTTTAATAAGACTTAACTATTTTTTGCAAAAACGTATATAATAAACATAAATTCATTATTACGTTGGCTTGTTCTTTTTGGTCCTGTAAATGTGTTGTTCATCTTGTAAAGTAATAAAGCAGTCAATTCTGACACATCCAGTAATACCACTAAAGATAACATGTAGGAAACTGAACCTGAGAAGTTTAAACATACATTATGGGTTTCAGGACACAGGAAGCAGAGAAGTTTAATTTGTACAAACTTGTTTTGAAGTCAGAAAAGCGTTAACCTGCTTTCTTTCTGAAGTGAATCAGTCAGATTCCTTTGCTGTAGTGCAGAGTCTGATTCTGTAGCAGATGAGATCAACAGATCCTCCTTACCTTGAGATACACTTTAAATAAACTACATACAACAAGCTGTATGTATGAACTATTTCATCAACTCAAAATGAGTGGTGAGATTTTAATCACAATAAAATGCAAATACAGACATTATTTGTAAGTAAATTTATTTATATACACTGCCAATCAAATGTTTGAAATCATGTAAATGTATATTACTAGTCCAAATCATCTATAGTTTATTCTCATTCACAATATCCTGTAATAGCAGGGCGTGATCTTGGGGAGGCGCTGCTGCTCTAATGCTGTGCTGCCTCTCCTGTACTACCAGACATTGACTGATGTAACATTGGGCAGACCATATCAAACCTCATATGTTGTAAGCCAATCATATAAGACCTGGGGGAGGTGCTCGGGTTATGCACTGCAAAGTAATTGGTAGCTGAGCTGAAGACAGGGCTTTGGCTTAAAGCTCATGTAGCGAACACTGGCTGAAACTCTGCCTCCGGCAGAGTGTTTACACAAAAGTTAAGGGCCTTTTGGCTCCAGCAAGTCTGGGACTGTGGCATAAAGCTGTCGGCTTAATACCCCAACCCCAGACTCAGTCAGATTTACGGCTGAATCAAGAGGCTGCACCCCTCTCCTTTGACCTGGAGAAAAACAGAACCCTTCACTGGAATGCAGCTGCACGGCTCTCCAAAATCCTGCGGACAACTTTTTATCTTAAGTAACAGAAAGTACATTTCTAAGGTGTTTGTCCCCTCCAAACTACAACCATTCGTTAGAACTCTTTTTAACTAAACTAGACATACCAAAACGGAATTTGTACGACTTTGGACGGCAAAATTCCAACTTTCTAAATTCCCTAGGAATCTCAAGCATGGACCCACAGCACCCCAAGGGGTGAAACCGCAAATTACCGCATCACCACCGTAAGGACTTGTGCTTATAAAAAGCAAGAAAACTTTGTGCTTTGTCTGCTTGATTCTGCTTGATGATTCGTGCTTTGTCTCCTTGATTATCAAAGTTGCTATGATCTGTAAGTAATACTGCTTGTGGTATTAATCTTGTTGTTGGGTAGTACCTTAATAATACCTGTATATCGTTAAGTGCTAGAAATACGTAGAGTATAACTTTGATAACAGTCAGACCCAACCATTTAATTGCTATGAGTTTAGACCATTGACCAAGATGTATCCTGAATGTGGTTTTCTTTTCTTTTCTTCCTTTGTTCCTTTCCTTTTATTGTTGACTATTTTTTTCATGCATTGGGTCATGTTCAGAGATGATAGGCAAATAGTACCTGTGTTCTTTGACATGTATTGTGTATCAGGTAACAAGGGTTAAACTCTCTCTTAGAAACATGCCTGAATATCTAAATTGTTCATTCCTTGATTTTGAAAGTTAAACAAAGTGGATGATAGAAATGTTCTTTTGCTTTGTTTAAACTAGCTGAAACAAAAGAGGCAGTGATTCTGGGGAAGGCGTTCCTCAAATTATGCACAACCAATCAGAGTGGGAAACAAGCTAGTCAACCTATCAGCACTCTGGCACCACCTCCAAAGGGTAGGGCCTCCAGCCGAGCAAAACCAGAGTGCGCCGCAAATTTGAGGGAGTTCCTGCATTCGCAACAAGTTTGTAAGTTTGTGCCGGCCTAAGACAGGACGCTAAATTATCAGATCTGAAACCTTTGTTTGTTTGCCTGTTCGCCTACACACCTTAAGTTTGAACCACCCTCAGAGAAGGAAGGTGGATATTTCTTGTCTGGCCCGGGAGGATATATCCATAACTTTCAATTCTGCTAAACAGAGGTAGTTAGTTAAATTGGTACCACCAGCCTCAGAACCCTGATTGCAACCTGAACCTCGCCAGCGGAGTGGGAGCGGTTCGGACACCACGGAGACCCAGCATCGCACCCAGAGCCACACACTGATCTGTGAACAGATCGACCATCGAAAGGCTGCCCAAGCTCCACCGTCAGACGGCCACGAGACGCCTCCGCCCAATCACTGACGGGAAGGCGCGTGCCCGCACGGAGATGCAGCATCCACGGCCAGCGAGGAGAGGAACCACCGCGTGAGCTCCAGCCTTCGATCGAGTCTGTCCTGAGACGACCCCGCCTGAAGTCAGCCCGCGACTCCCACGTAAGCTGGAACCATCAATTTGCAGTCAGGGCCCTGACGCCAATTTATTTAATAAGAGAACTTTTATAGGTACATCCAGCCATATAGTTCTTTCCGTCCAGGCTTAGGTTAATTCTCTAGAGGCTCTCCCAAGCGACTCCCCAAACCACACTGCCTCATACCATTTAGCCGTGAATCACTCTTAGCTTACTCGAGCTATTTTGTCTTTCATTACTATCACTTTGTTTTGTTTTGTTTTCTGGTTTTATTTTCTATTGTTTATCATTGAATGTAGTCCAAAAGTAGTTTGATATTTAGCCAATAAATTCCCTTTTCTGAAGCATCCTTGGTGCGAGCGTTTCTCTCTCTTGCCCTGGTCTGTAGACTTCAAATAAATCCGGGTTACCTCACACCCTCACATAAGGTTCTAGCAATAATAATATTAAAAATTGCAAAACCCGTTACACTCACTAAAATAAACAACCTTATTCAAAATCTATAATACAAAAAACAGTGTGAAACAGAGTGAATATATCCAACTAATTAACTTTAGCTAATTTTGGGTTTAAGTGTGGTTAAGAAAAGGGGTTAGGCTAACACTGACATTAGCTAACTAGCTGACATGACAACTAGTTTAACCCACAGAGTTTCTGGTTTAACCTCACTTCGTAGTGAATGTGAGAGTATGAAAGGACAAGAGGTATAGAAATAACATTACTGACAGCTCTTTATATTCTATGTTTTTAGATTCTTGTTTGATTTTTCCTGTTATGAGGCACCAGAACGTAACTGCTTCAGCATTTAAGGAGGAATGGGAAAATTCAAGCAAGAAGCTGACTTCAGCTTTGTGTGAAAAGGTCATGATAACTCAGTTTTATATTCAGGTGAACCAATCAGATTCAATCCCTGTAGCACAGAGTCTGATACTCTAGCAGGGCAGATCAACAGATCCTCATGGGTTTGGATCACACTTCAAATAAATTGCATATAGCAGTATAATATATGTGTATATTTTCATTTTCATCTTATTCTTTTCTTTACTTTAAGTTGAGTGATACAGTTATAATCAGAATCTGATGCATATGCAGATTTATAATATAGAATGAAAGTCTTTTTTTATTCATGTTCTTTGAATTCCTTGATACACTCATTCACAATATACTGCTGTCATGCCTGACTTCTTTATCTTATGATAATTATTTTGTACAGGTTTATCCTGATACTAACATAAAGGTTTAGTGTGGATCAAGTCAAGTCAAGTTAAATTTAATTGTATAGCGCTTTTTACAACTGATGTTGTCACAAAGCAGCTTCACAGAAATCCATTAAAGACAAAGTTTTAACATGAAATGTAAATCCTCCAAGTGAGCAAGCCAGTGGTGACAGTGGCAAGGAAAAACTCCCTCAGAGCTGAGGAAGAAACCAAGTGGCGGTAGCTGGGCAAGTGGCGGCGACTGGGGCGTGGGCAACTGGTCTGAAGCAGATAGCAGGAGAGCTCCGCAGACAATCAATTTACTCGGAAAAAGGTAAAGCTAAACTAAACAAGTGAGTTTTCAGCCTAGATTTGAAGATTGCGACTGAGTCTGAGTCCCGAACATTTTCTGGAAGATCATTCCAGAGTTTGGGGGCTTTATAAGAAAAGGCTCTTCCCCCAGCTGAAACCTTCTGAATTTTGGGAACTATTAAAAAGCCAGCACTTTGTGATCTGAGTAATCATGGTGGCTCATAATGGGAAATAAGGTCTTGCAGGTACTCAGGAGCGAGCCCATGTAGGGCTTTATACGTCAATAAAAGAACTTTGTAATCGATACGGAATTTAACAGGCAGCCAATGGAGTGATGATAGAACTGGACTGATATGATCAAATTTTCTAGTTTTAGTGAGGACCCTGGCTGCAGCATTTTGAACTAGTTGAAGTTTACTTAAATTCCTGCTGGTGCATCCTGATAGTAGTGCATTACAATAGTCTAGCCTTGAAGTAATAAAGGTATGTACTAATGTTTCTGCATCGTGCAGTGATAAGGCATTTCTTATTTTGGCGATGTTGCGAAGATGTGAAAAAGCTGTCCTAGTGATACTGCCTATGTGTTGATCAAATGATAAACCTGGATCAGTTATGATGCCAAGATTTTTTGCTGCTGAACCAGGTATAACTGGAAAGTCAGCAAGATTTAAAATTAAATCTGGTAATTTATTCCTTGCCACTTTTGGACCCAGAAGGAGAACCTCTGTTTTGTTACTGTTTAGAAGGAGGAAGTTACATAACATCCAGCCTTTCACATCTTTTACACAGTCCTCTATTTTCTTTAACCTGTATTTGTCATCAGGCTTGGCTGATATGTACAGTTGCGTATCATCGAAAGTTAATGCCATGGCTACTT